CTGGAAGCAGACTCCAGCACAACGGCAGGTCAGCTCCACTTTATTAAGTCCAACAGGGTCCGGACCAGCACTTTAGAAACTTGCAAGTGCAGTATTCTGGCCACAGAGGGCATTGGGTCTGAGTGACATTACCCTGTAAAGGGTAATTTTAGCACACAGTAGAAACCACAAGCAAATTATTTAAAAATATGAAAAAGTTGCATAGTACAGCCTTAATGTTTGTTCCAAATAGATGTCATGTTTACACCCCCCTACTTTGGGTGAAGTCTGTATATTTTCTTTATGTTTATTTTTTTATATTTTGTTGGGATTTCTCTGCCTCCATGACTGTCCACTATTTTTCTTGTTGTTTAACCTTTTTGCATTACTTACCCTGGAACTGAGGGGAGGGGGAAGTGAGTAATTTGAAGGTTAAATTGATTCCTGTTATCGTTCCCTTGATTTGCTGGTTTTAACAAATTTGATCGTCTAATTTTAGTGTTTTCTTATATAGAACTGAGTGATTTTAATAACAGACATTTTTTTATGGCTGGTTTAACTAATAAAGGAGTGATTTTATTACTGACCTTTTCTTTGTTTAAACAATAAATGGATTGTGATTGTGTCTCCTGTCTCACTAAAGGGAAACTGATCTAAGTGCCTTGCTATTTAACTATTTCCATGGGCGAAATTCCCATGGTGGCGTTGTTGGCAGTAATTGTATACAATTGCCATTTTTGGCATCGGCAGGTTATAAGACCACCCGAGTTCTGCCACAATATCACATTCAGCAGCTGGTAGAAAAAAAAGCTGAGGTTTTACTTCAGAATAAAATCCTTCACGTCCAGGAAGAGTCTTGCAGAAGCCACTTTTTTGTCAGTGTTAGATTATGGCAATATTTTATATTTGCATGCCTCATCTCAGAGCCTTTGTGCTCCTGCCTAATTTTGTTTAAACAATGATTGCACACTTTCTGTTAATCCTACAAACATTGTTTCACTTCTCTATCACTATGTGTGTGTCTCCTATGTGATATATGTAACTGAAATTCTATCATAACAACCAACAATTTAAAAAGGAAAATCATGAAGCAAGGCTGCCCAAACGTTCTGGTCTTTAGGGCCTTATATGGACAAGCACCACCATGTATTGGTGATCTTCTCAGTCCCTACACCCCCAGCAGGTCCCTGAGGTCCAGTGATCAAAGCCTACTGGTTGTGCAGCACACCAGGCTAAAGACCAAAGATGACAGATCATTTGGGGGTTTAGGAAATGCTTAACCTTGCAGAAAAAACCTGCCTGAGGATTTATTATTCATTTAGATTTCGGGATATAAAAGTAATGTTTGCAAATAAAGAGGTTTGATCAGTCAAAATCCAGCATGTCTTTCTGGAGGACCTACAGAACAATGAGGGTAATTCAACCTCTGAATCAGGTTGCACCAGCGAAACTGGCTTGTGTATTTGAGCTCATCTTGTGCTATAACCTGTGTATATTCATTTATTTGTTCTATCAGTTAATAATGCATCTTAATTCTGATTGTGTGCACATGGTGACTCTTGTATTGACAGTGGCCCTGAGCAGAAACTCAGCATATTGTGTTCACAATAACTCCTAAAGGTTCATGCTGGGTTATCCATTAACATGTTGTACGTGGAAATATTGATGGAAAACAATCACTTTCTCCAGCCAGAGAACTATTTGTCACTGTGCAACAGTTCCTTTGTTTGTATGTTCATCACTGTGCTTAATGAGCAGTGTTCCTGCCCTTCACCTTCAGGCGTCTCTTTTTTTTCATAACCTCGCACCTCATTAGTTCCCCAAGTCCTCGTTCTGTTTGTCCTTCCTTTAAAAATTAAGTGCAGATAAACAGATTTGTAGAATACATGAAAAGTTTGACAAAGTACAGAAGCTGCTTTAAAATACTGTTCATGATCTGTTTGTGTTGATTCATCACCACTATGGGATTTTTCTTCTGCTGGACCAGACCATAAACAAAAATGTTTTTCTCCCTAACACAGGACAGTGATTTCCATGAGTCATGCTCTGATGGAGGTTCCAGCTAAAAAGTTTTACCTGCTGTTAGAAACATTGTGAGGTTTCTCTTGGAAGTATTTTAACGCCTCTTTGCTGTAGAGCTCAATCAAAGGTAACACACGACTTGTTCTAGACCTGGATGGGACAAACTCAGAGTTGTGGTTTTAAACAGAACAGATATAGCAACTAAAAGTCACTCGTTTTTACCTGAACAGCAGCTACTTCCTTGAAAGTTCGACTTGTGTGACTAATTCTAGCAGGAAATCTATTCCAGTCATTAGCCTTGTTAGGCCGGTTTCCCGTGAAAGAGGCAAAGGTGGATTAACCAGGGCTGCACTCCTGCAGCTGTGCACAATAGAGCTGTAGCATCTCTAACAAGAAGGTCATGTGATTAAGATAGGTCTCCATTTACACACCTGTGCATTTCTTACTCTTTTAAGTCAAAATAAAAGAGACTTTATTAAATCTGCCTGGAAAGATGCATCTATTACATCAGTGGTTCCCAAACTTATTTAGCCGCGCACCCCCTTCTATGTCCCGACCATGTCGACGCAGCCCCCCCCCCCAGCCCCCACATCAGGGCATGGCTGGGGGGGGGGGGGGGGGGGGGGGGGGTCATCAGGGCATGGCATATATATATATATATATATATATATATATATATGTAAATTTCCCATCACTTTCATTTTTTAAATAGTAATTAATAAACATTCGATACCATTACAATTTCCTTTGATTTCATTTTAAATAAATATTTAGAGTGCCCAGGTAGCACATAAAAAATGCAATTTAACGGTTTTCTTAAAGTAGGAACGTTTAACCTGTGCGACCAGCTCTCTCCTTCCTTCTGCTCTGCGTAAACCTGAGCTGATCACCTACTTGTGCGTAATCAAATGCCAATAGAGGACAAGATATAGCCATGATGTTCACTTTTACCTCAGACCGACTTATTGCTGTTTTATGGTGTGGCTGAATCTGCGATCCGCTGTCATGCGGACTGGAACAACAAATGCTGCAATAACAGGACTTGTGGTCAGGTTCATGAGGAGTCACTGGCTGGAGCGGACCCGACTCATCCCAGAAGCTAATATCTTAATTTGACATTGAATGAAAAATAACCTCTTAAAAGTTTTTATCACGGTGGAGGCAGTGTTCATTTCTGCCTTCAGTCTGACGGCGCGCCGGAGTTAAAGCAGCGTACGCGCTTATTGAATCTGTGTGTGTGCGCGTGCACGCCCACGCGGCACAGCCGCTCAAGTCACCGCGTCTCGTTATTTGGCACTATTTAAACCAATGTTGTAAAATTACTTCTGCCCAGCCCAGATGTGCTCACATGTGCACCCGTGAGCCGTGGTTCCGCTGGAACACGTCTGACCTCTGACAGACGCGCTCTGAACTTCAGATCTTCGGCGCGCTGTTAATATTCTTGTTATTTTGTTACATCCACAATGTTCTGTGTGTGAGGTTTACAATGTCAGAACACCTGCATGAGACATGGTGTTAATTACAATCTGCCAGAATGACTCACCACCTTCAGATTCCTCCAACACCGTTAAAATGATCAAATACGGAACATATCGGCGTGCGCAGGCCAGAGTGCTGAAGCTCGGCGCATTGTTATTATGAAGCTAGGGCACATGTGGAGGACACAAACGCGCGCGCGCAAAAATATACTTGTTTTCAATTACATTTATTGGGCCCACTTACTTTTTCTTTGGCCCACCCACAAATGAGTTTCTATGCTAATGGTGACATTTGACAGACTTCTCTGAGCTCCGCGGCCATTACACTTTTCACCTCGCGCACCCCCTAGCGGCAGCTCGCGCACCCCCAGGGGTGCGCGCACCACACTTTGGGAATCCCTGTATTACATATTTTAATTACTGATTCAATTATATCTGGGCATGTGTGTGTGTTCTGGCTCAGTACGTTTGGACAACACTGGCCAATGAATTTATTTTTTATAAAAGTATATTTTTATGCATTTTCAAGTTTAAGAACATTAATTGTTACAGACAGAACTGACAGGACGGTGAGGCCAGCTTTCTTAGGTGAGAAGTGGAAAACGCTAAAGTTTGGTAATTACGGAGCAGTGGCACTAAACACGTCCTGTTCAACAACAAAACAGGTAAAGGGATTTATGAGGAAATGATTGCAGGCAGATTACAAGTAATTCATTTATAAAAGATACTTTAGATATCATTTAGAAGAAATATCAATTAAAAACTGATTTTAGAATACCAAGAATGGAATGAGTGGAGGACGGTGGAAACTTGGGAGTTCACCTGGGCAGTGACCTGAAAATGTTGCTTTTTCTGGACAGGTATTGTGTTTTGTACAAGATGGTTTGAAAGTCAAAACACATCTTTATTGCAAAAGCTTCTATAAATATTTTTTCTCACAGGTTCTCCATCACACCCAAGATGGCATAACATTAAACTCTTGGTTTGTCTGATCGAGCATTTTCATGTAAAAACTATAAATCCCTGAGGGGGAAAATAAACATCACATATCACTGTTTTAAACTGTTTCTGAACTGCAGGTATGCTATTTATTACACATTTCTCCAGAATTATAACCTGAGATTCCAAATAGAAGTGTTTGAAATAAAAGCTTTCTCATTCAGATAATATTGCATAACATTTACTTTAGAGACATTTTCTTATAATCTTTTACATAGTCATTCGGAAAATTGCAACAGGATGAAAATTACCACATAAAACATGTTAACTTCCATAATCTCAGCTGTTGTTCCTAGTAAAGCATCAGTGAAGCCATTCTTAGTGATCATGATTCCAGATAGATGTAGAGTCCTTGTTATGCTGCTTGATGGCTGCAGCAGCATCATGCTATATATATATATATATATATATATATATATATATATATATAGCATGTGTATATGTGTGTATATATATATATATATATATATATATATATATATATATATATATATATATATATATATATATATATATATATATACACACACACACACACACTGCTCACAAAAATTAAAGGGACACTTTAAAGAAACACATTAGATATATCAGGTCTCAATATGAAGTTGGATATCTATACAAATAACGAACAAAAGGATGCCAAGTCTTTTAATGGAAATAAAAGTTATCAGCCTACAGAGGGCTCGATTGTGTAGACACCCTAAAATTGGAGTGAAATGAAGATGTGGCAGGCTAGTCCATTATTTCAAAAACTTAATTTCTGCAACTCTAATTGCTTTTCAGTATCTTGTGTGGCCCCCACGAGCTTGTGTGCATGCTTGACAACGTCGGGGCATGCTCCTAATGAGACAACGGATGGTGACTTGTGGCATTTCCTCCCAGATCTGTGTGAGGGCATCCCTGAGCTTTTGTACAGTCTGAGGAGCAACCAGGTGCCGCCTAATGGACGAAACATAATGTCCCACAAATGTTCTGTTGGGTTTAAATCAGGAGATCATGAAGGCCATTCAATTGTTTCAATTCCTTCATCCTCCAGGTACTGCCTGCATACTCTTGCCACATGAGGCCGGGCATTGTCATGCATCAGGAGAAAACCAGGACCTACTGCATCAGAGTAGGGTCTGGCAAAGGGTTCAAGGATTTCATCCCAATACCTTATGGCAGTCAGAGCACCATTTCCTAGGCAGTAGAGGTCTGTGCGTCCCTCCATGGATATGCTTCCCCAGACCATCACTAACCCACCACCAAACCTGTCATGATGAACGGCGTTGCAGGCAGCATAACGTTCTCCTTGTCTTCTCCAGACTCTTTCACGTCTATCACGGGTGCTCAGGGTGAACCTGCACTCGTCTGTAGAAAGTACAGGGTGCAAGTGGCGGACTTGCCAATTCTGGTGTTCTTGAGCAAAAGCTAGTCAAGCTCTACGGTGCTGGGCAGTGAGCACAGGGCCCACTACAGGACGTCAGGCCCTCAGGCCATCTTCATGAAGTCTGTTCCTGATTGTTTGGGTAGAGACATTCACACCAGTGGCCCTCTGGAGGTCATTCTGTAGGGCACGAGCAGTGCTCAACCTGTTCCGCCTTGCACGAAGGAGCAGGTATCGGTCCTGCTGATGGGTTGTGGAACTTCTACGGCCCTGTCCAGCTCTCCGAAAATAACCGCCAGTCTCCTGAAATCTCCTCCATGTTTTGGAGATTGTGCTGGGAGACACATTAAACCTTCTTGCTGCAGCACATGTGGATGTGCCATCCTGGAGAAGTTGGACAACCTGTGCAACTTCTGTAGGGTTAAGGAATCGTCTCATACTGCCAGTAGAGATAATTATTCAAGCCAAAACTAGCACGAGTGGAAAACCGGCCGAAAAAGATCAAGAGGGAGAAACTTGAAATGACCTCTACATGTTAAACCAGTCCTGTTTTGAGGGTTTTGTCATTGTGGCCACTTTAGTGCACCCGTTGTTAAGTCCATGAACACCAATACAGCTGAAAGTGATCAACAATGCCCTCAGCTGCTTGATCAACCAGGAAATTCTCAGACAGGTTTAATTGATTTCATGCCAGGCCCAATTAAAAAAGTGTTCCTTTAATTCTTGTGAGCATGGTATATATATATATATATATATATATATATATATATATATATATATATATATATATATATATATATATATATATATATATATATATATATATATACAATGTGTATGTGTGTGTGCAGGATTTAGAGTAACGATGCAACAGTCCTGCAAAACAAAAACCACACCATTAAACAGCCAATAGATAATATTATTTGAGCTGTTTAATAATACTATAAGTTGAAGCCTTACTGAAAGAGGGATCCAGTCAGCTCATCAACAAGACCACCTGAATAAAAAAAAACGTTAGATAAAATAATTATTGTAAGGGCAGTAAACACTGTCCCCCTCATACCTGGTGTGCAAACTGTATCACACAGAATGGGACAAATGTAGCACGATGAGCAGCTCTGGAGAGAAAACACATAGAAGGGTTGAGAAGGTCCAAACACTCCATGTTTCTAGACGGAGAAGCTCACCTCACAGTGTTCACAGTAATCTGACTCATCTCCCTCCTCGCAGGGACATTTGTCACAGCTTTCAGAGCAACGCTGAGGAGATTAAAACAACACTGTGCTTAATGATTAGAAGTTTTTGTTAGAGAGCACCTTTAAGTCGTCGTCATTTTACCCGACAAATGGAGCAAACGCTACACAGAGAGCCAGAGTGGAACTGCTGGTAGTCTGACACCACCTCCTCTTCGGCTGCACCTCTGAGGTTCTCAGTTGTTTTGTCAACTTCATCTAAAACAACACACACACACACACACACACACACACACACACACACACACACACACACACACACACACACACACACACACACACAGTATAACATGTAGATGATATCACAATGGGATGTGTTAGGTTACACCTAAATTGAATTAAATCTGGCCTGATGTCGTGTTGTGTCATATTAAAGATAAAGATACAAGTACAAGTTATTTAAGTACAAAATAGTTGTTATATCATATGGGTCTTAGGTGAAGGGTGAGACAAAGAACGGTTCAGAAGATCTTTCATGGACGTAAAAACAAAGAGTCAGAGTACCCAGCCCAGAGTGTTACCGGGGTCCCACCCTGGAGCCAGGCCTAGGGTTGGGGCCCGTGAGCGAGTGCCTGGTGGCCGGGCTTTCGCCCATGGGGCCCGGTCAGGCCCAGCCCGAACCGGATTCATGGGCTCATCCAACTGTGGACCCACCATCAGCAGGAGGAACATGAAGGGTCCGGTGCAATGTGGATCGGGTGGGAGACTGAGGCGGGAGCCTTGGTGGTCCGATCCCCGGACAAGGGGCACCCTGTGGGGGACGCTCCAGGAGTATGGAGTGGGTGGCCTTTAGTAAAGGGCCATTCAGTCCCTTTACCAGAGGAGCGTGAGTTTGGTCCGCATAGCTGGTAGTAAGTCAGACCTGTTCCAGGTGAGGGTTGGACTTTGCCAGGGCAGCCCTTTGTCACAGGTTCTGTCCATAACCTTTATGGACAGAATTTCTAGGCGCAGCCGTGGTGTGGAGTGTGTCGAGTTTGGTGGCAGGAGAATCTCGTCTCTGCTTTTTGCGGATGATGTAGTCCTCCTAGCTCCATCCAGCTCTGACCTTCAGCTCCTGCTGGGTAGGTTCGCGGCCGAGTGTGAAGCGGCTGGGATGAGGATCAGCACCTCCAAATCTGAGACCATGGTTCTCGACCGGGAAAGGGTGGCTTGCCAACTGCGGGTCGGGAGAGAGGTCCTACCTCAAATGGAGGAGTTTAAGTATCTCTGGGTCTTGTTCACGAGTGAGGGTAGGAGGGATCGAGAGATCGACAGGCAGATTGGTTCGGTGTCTGCAGTGATGCGGACGCTGAGCCGATCTGTCGTGGTGAAGAGGGAGCTGAGCCAGAAAGCCAGGTTCTCGATCTACTGGTCAATCTACGTCCCAATCCTCACCTATGGTCATGAGCTTTGGGAAATGATGACCGAAAGAATGAGATTGCGGATACATGCGGCCAAAACGAGTTTTCTCCGTAGGGTGGCTGGGCTCAGCCTTAGAGATAGGGTGAGGAGCTCAGACATTCGAGAGGGACTTGGAGTAGAACCGCTGCTCCTCCGGATCGAAAGGAGTCAGTTGAGGTGATTTGGGCATCTGGTCAGGATGCCTCCTGGACGCCTCCCTGGGGAGGTGTTTCGGGCATGTCCTGGCAGCAGGAGGCCCCCGGGTCGACCCAGGACACGTTGGAGAGGTTACATCTCCAATCTGGTCCGGGAACACCTTGGGGTCCTGTCGGAGGAACTGGAGGAAGTGGCTTGGGAGAGGATGGTCTGGAGCTCCCTAGTTGGGATGCTGCCCCCGCAACCCGGACCCAGATAAGCGGAGGAAGACGACGACGACGACGATATAAGGAACCCAGCAAATTGCATCAAGTCACTGACTAGTGTCAGTGACTTTACAGCAATCCTCATACTAAGCAAACATTTAGAAACAGTGGAGAGGGACACTCCCTTTTAACAGGAAGAAACCTCCAGAGGATCCTGGCTCAGTATAAACAGCAATCTGCCACGACTCACTGGAGATCAAGAAGACAGAGCAGACACACACACACATACACACACACACACACACACACACACACACACACAACATAAATATCAAGTAATGTTTCTGTGGTTACATTGTGATTTCAAAGTAAATATTCTATTTGGTGAGAGATAAACTTTATTGCATTTATCCTAGTTAATCTATAATTAAATGGGTAAACTAGTAGTAGCACATTCAATGTCAAAGAAAGTAAAATGTTATTAACAGGAGAGGGAGAATGTTTAAGTGTTAGCAATAGTTAGTGTTCAAGCCGATGGCCCCTCCGTGAGGCCACCACAGCTCAGCAGAACATCACTGTAGCTTCTTCTGGGGAGAAAAACACTAAGGGGAAATATAAGTTAACAGCTGAAATAGCAGGAAATAATACAGTTAAAGAGCAACTTGTGGAAGAAAGTGACGGGTTCCGGGCAAGATGGTGTGCTGAACAGCAGTCGAATACGGTTGCGGTGGTAACTTGTCTCAAACTTTTTACTTAACAAGATTAAGGATCACTCACAACTTTTGAAATGAATCCTAAAAGCATATTGAAACTGGCAAAACTAAAAATGACCGGTGGAAAAGGAGAAAAACAAGTGGAAGCTATGAGAGATGAAGGGAAACCACTAGAGCTGGTTAGCGACCATGCTTATGCTAAAGAAGCTAATGCTAAAAGAAAAGATGCTGGCTCCGGTCCTAATATGCTGCACAAGCCTCCGGTCGACAAAAAAGTAAAGGTTTGGAGGAAAATGAAGAAGAAGTGTCTAATCATACCATTTTGAAAGCCATACAAAATATGGCGAAGGATGTGGAAGAGCTTAAAGAGAAAGCATAGCAAACAAGCTGCATGCTAGCTGCTTTGATCAAAGTGGTGCAGTTCAACGCTGAAGAAGTTAAAGAATGCAGGCGAAGAGTAAACAACTTAGAAGTTCAACAAAAAGTCCTCTTGGATGAGAATATGATGCTGAAGGAGAAAATAAAGGATCGGGAAAGGTACAGGATGAGATGGAGTTTGAAGATGAAAGGCCTTCCGGAAAAAAGCGATGAAAATGTCAGAGTGGACACTGTCCAACTCTTCACATGCATTGCCCCTGATTTACAACAGCTGGAGAGGAATGTAGATGTTGTGCACAGAGTGGGGAAGAATGGGGATAATAGGAGCAGAACAACTGTGGCAACTTTTGTTCAGAGATTGACGAACGAAGAGATATGGCGCGAAAGCGAGAACTTGTCAGTGTGCGGGGAAAGAGGCGTTCACTTCCTGGAGTTGATGTCGCTGGAGGACAGAGAAGCAAGAAATAAGTTGTGGCCACAGATAGAGAAGGCTCGAGCTGAAGGGAAACGAGCCTATTACCGTGGGCCTCATGGTTACATTGAAGGTAAAATGACTGGCTAGCAGTGATCAGGTTTGGATGCGTTAAGGGAACAAAAAATAAGAAAAATAAAACAGAAAAATGTATTTGAGTGAAAATTTGAATGAGACAGTTACTCGCTAAATGTAGTTCATAAGGAGAAAACCTTCAGTTTGTGATAATTGTGAGTTTGCAAATCCATTGTTCTCATGTTTAATCGCATGGTTTCCTTTGCTTCTTTAAATGTGAGAGGTCTTAAAGATGTTTTAAAGGAAAGCTTTATTTTTCTTTGGAAAAGGGCGTACAGCTCAATGTCTGTTATTGCAAGAAACTCATTCTTCTGATGTGGATGTAAAGTTTTGGACAAACATGTAGGGGGATAAAACATTGTTTAGTCATGGAAGCACTAAGTCAGCAGGGGTAACTATTTGTTTTAACAAGTTTCAGGGGGAGGTTGTTACTTAGAGAAAAGATGAAGACGGGCAATGGTTAATGGCAGTCTTGTTGATTGATAGTTGTTTTTTGATATTGGTCAATGTTTATGGTTATAGAACTGTTACGCAAAATAAACAGATGTTAAGGAATGGTGGCGAAGGCATACGTGAGCTAAAAACAATGTATCCCACAGATTCCATTGTAATGGGAGGAGGGGGGGGGGGGCGCGATTGGAACATGACTTTGGATGATTGGGTAGATAGATCACCTTCAAGGTTTCAAAGTCACCTATTTAATTCTCTTATGGTCAAATGTATCAGGGATAATTACCTGATGGATATTTGGAGGAATAAGAACCCAGGGAAGAAAATGTTCTCTTGGTATGAACCTAACGGAACCGCAAAATCGAGAATTGACTACTGGCTGGTTACGCAGTCATTGGAAAGATTTGTCTTTGATACTGTAATTTCCAAAGCTCCATTAACAGATCACTGTGTAATTGAAATAGCATTGAATTCAAAGAATAGGAATTATAAAAGTAAGGGCTATTGGAAATTCAATGCTATTCTGCTAAATGATAAAGAATGCTGTGGGAAAATAAAAGGAATAATATCAGCAATTGTGAAGGATGACAAAATAGAGACCTTCTGCAGCAAATGGGAATATGTAAAATTTAAGATTAGAGAATATTCGATTAAAAATAATAAAGACTTGAACAAAGAAAGAACAAAACAGGAATGTGAGCTTCTGCAGGAGATTAGTTGGTGCTGCAACAAAATAGAAATGGGTAGTGAGGATAAGAAAAACTTATTATATCTGCAAGCCAAATTGGATGATTTTTATAGGAAGAGAGCCCAAGGAGCTTTTGTACGTTCAAGAGCAAAATGGATGGAGGAGGGAGAGAAAACCCCAACATATTTTAGCAAACTGGAGAAAAGAAGACAGGAAAATAAAGCCATCTCAAGCTTGCTGATTAATGGTGCAGAATGCAAGGATAATAAAACGATAGAGAAAGAAGTCTTTAAATTTTATAGTGAGTTTTATTCCTCAGCCTTTTCTACGAGGGACACAACTACATTGTTTAACGTATTGCAAAAACAAATACCCCTCATTGATAACACATTTAAGGAAACATGTGAATCTGATTTTAAAATAGAAGAGCTGGATGCAATCGTTCTGAAGCTGGCAGCAAACAAAGCTCCGGGTACTGATGGACTCACGGCCAATTTTTATCAATTCTTTTGGAGAGACATCAGAAATCTACTGTTCAAAGCAATACAGGAATGTTAAGAGAAGCAAGAACTAACAACCAGCATGAAACAAGGCATTATAACATGAATTCCTACAGAAAATAAAGATAAAAGAATGTTGGATAACTTGAGGCCCATTACACTTCTGAATACTGATTACAA